CAGCCCTTTTTTGTATTGGATATTTTCAAGATAGGGTCTCATGAACTATTTGCCTGGGCTGGCTTTGAATCTTGATCCTCCTGATCTCTGCCTCCTGAGTAGCTAGGATTACAGGGGTGAACCATTGGCACCTGGCTCCCTAATCTTATCTTTTAAAATACACATTTTTCATATACCAGGTTTTCTTAAGGTGCGATATATCTTTAATTTTAGAGGGTGAATAAAGAGTTTCAAAATACCTTTTAAAAAATTCATAAATTCTCTAATTTTTATAGCATTTTTAGCATAATGATAGGATATCTCCAAATATTTGTCATTTACACTGTCAGGGCTAATAAATTTGTCAGTGTTAATAAATAAATTAGTAAATGATCTACTGTAACTGGAGATTTCTCTTTTAGAAGTGAGGACTAATATCATGTGTTCTCTCCCCAAAACAACAAGGTTCTTAATTCAGCAGACATCAGAACTTTTTTTGATGAGGTAATCCACCAATGCATACTGTCTCCAAATTATCTTTGGCCAGTGAAGAAAATCTATATTGATAATTTTTTTGGTTTTTTTTTTTTTTTTTGGTACTGAGGTTTGAACTCAGCACTTTGCACTTGCTAGGCAGGTGCTCTACCACTTGAGCCACTCTGACAGCTCTTTTAATAGCTTTTTAAATAATTCTAACGGGGAATAGAGCAGCAGCTCAGTGTGGATGTTATGATGCCTTGGTAAGAGAAAAACCACTTTGCATTCCATTTGAAGTATATTGTGAGTCATTTCCAACAATTTGAGTCCTTCTGTTGCAAAGGTGAGCATTTTTTAAAATTATTGAGTATGGAAAGAATACTGAACTGATTTCAACTATATGAAACAAAAAGACAAACATTTAAGAATCTGTCCTAAAGTACTATCTTTTCCATTGTGGTAAGTGTGTTTTAAACCAATTGAGAGGTACATTATTTCATTATAGTTTAGAAGAAATAAAATTTATGTTCACCTATCAACAAATTTCCAGGGCTAGAGGTGTGGCTCAAGTGGTAGAGTGCCTGCCTAGCAAGCACTACAGCTCTGAGTTCAAACCCCAGTAGTGCCAAAAAAAAAAAAAAAAAAAATTTCCAGATCCTAAGAAGGACAGAGAAATTATCTTGGTTACCAGACTTGTGTTTGCCTCACATAGTTTTATCTGAACTTTAAGTGTTGGTCTATCATTAAAATTTAGAGACAATTAAGAAATAAAGGAAAATGGTGATATTGCAGAGAGCTTTGAAATATTCTTTCCACAGAAGAAAACATGACAAATTTTAATCTATGACTCAATCAGTATTGAAAAAGTTCAAAAACGAGTGTTTTGAATAGACCAGGAAAGTTTTCTGCTTTCATAGTATGGTAATATTCTCTGTCTTGACCTTTCTTTGGGATTTGGATTTATAAATTTTCCTTCCTCCCTGGAACTCATGATCCTCCTGCCTAAGCTTCCCAAGTACTGAAATTACAGGTGTGTATCACCACATCAGGCCATAGACTTCTTTTTTTTTCTTTTGTCTGTATTGGGGGTTGAACTCAGTCCCTTGTGCTTGAAGCTCTCTGCCACTTGAGCAGATAGGATCTTGCACTTTTCGCCTGGCTGACCTTAAATTACAATCTTCCTACCTCCACCTCTCGAGTAGCTGGGATTACAGGCATGCACCACCACACCCGACATAAATTTCTTTCTTGAGCATGCTTCTCAAGCAAGCAATTTCTAAGCTCACCTTCCTAGTTTGAGAGCCCTTCGTTCAACTCTTCTCATGTTTTAAAAGATGGCATGTGAACCCCATGATGACTTGAAAACAAACCACTTCTTCCTGCTTAGCATCTTTTTAGACTCTTTTGCTTTTATAGATGTTGATTTATGAGTAAAAAAACTCATAAAAAGGAACCAGGTTTGTGTTGTGCCATTGGGTAGCTGAGATAGCGTGTAAGAGCAACACAGGTCAGCCATTGCGTTCCCTAACAGTAAGCTTTGTTTTGACACTGAATTCCAAGTTGAAAAGAAGGGAAAGAATATCATTCTAATTCCAGAAGAATAATCTCCCTTTTAAGGGAGGAGAGTGAGCTAAATGGAAGGTCATACTTCAGTTTTGAGACTGATAGCATCAGATTATCATGTTTAACAGAAATAGAAGTAAACTCATCTCACAAAATAACTTTTTGCATTACTTTGTGATTCCGTCCTTGATTTTGGAGCTATTACATTGCATTTGGGTTTGTCAAGGTCTTTGCATCCATCTCCGGATGGGGCAGTCAGGGCAGTGAATCAGGTTACGGTCTCACACATTCTAGCCACGTTTACAGCTGAGCAACGAGTTCTTGGGACTCCATTGTACGTTAATGGAGGAAATGACCTCGAATCATTGAATTGCCTCCATGACTTTGTGTCTCGCCTGTTTCTTTGGTTTTGTTTTTGTCTTTTTTTTGGTGGTGGGTATTGAAACTTGGGCCTCATTCAAGTGCTTTACCACTGAGCTATAACCTCAAACTTTTCTTTCTTGGGTATTTCTGTCTTCTTCTTTGGTGGTAACTGGGGTTTGAACTCAGGACCTCATGCTTGCTAGGTAGGTGTTCTCCCACTTGAGCCTCACCCTCAGTCCTTTTTGCTTTTAGTTATTTTTCAGGTAGGGTCTCACATTTTTGCCTGGGTTTGGCCTCAGACTTCGATCACCTACCTATGGCCTCCTGCACAGCTGCGATTATAAGTGTGTCATACTACACTAGCTTGATTGAGATGATGCCTTGCTAACCTTTTGCCTGTGCTGGACTAGAACTGCCATCCTCATGATCTTCACCTTCTGAGTAGCTAGGATTACAGATGTGAACCACTGTGCCCAGCCTCTTAGGTTATTTCCTGACATAATCACAGGAAAAAATTAACTTCAGTTAATTCTAATTCAATTCCACTTTTGATTTTTACTTTTATGTAAATACTATATTTCATGAAAAATTCTTCAAAAGATTATTTTAAAGTATGTCTACTCCTCTTAAATTTCCCTTTAAAAATCCATAGTGGTACTGATAAATTGGGGTCAAATAAACACAAAGTGCAGAACAGACATATTTTGGATTTTTTTTCATTTTTATGTAGTTTTGAAAACTTTCAAAGCTCCTGTATAATTCCCTTAATGCCTTGCTTGTCAAAACTCTAATTCCACTTGAAAAAGTGCTTATTTAAAAAGTAGAATCTTAGACTAAGGTCATGCCTCAAGTGGTAAGTGGCTTGTATAGCAAGTGTAAGGCCCTAAGTTCAAATCCCAATACCTCCAAAGTGGAATCATGTACAAGCATGGTGGGGGACATCTGTAATTCCAGCTACTTGGGAGGTAGAAATATGAGGCTCAAGGTCTGAGGCCAACCCAAGCAAAAGTGAGACTCCATCTCAACAAACAAGCTGTGCATGGTGGTGTACATCTTTAATACCAGCTACATGCAGGGTGTAGGTAGAAGACTCAACATCCGAGGCTGGCCCAGGCAAAAGTGTAAGAGCCTATCTAAAAAATGAACTAAAAGCAAAAGAGCTGGGAATCCCAGCCAAAAAAAAAAAAAGCAATCGACGAATGTGAAGTGTGTATGGAGTGGGAAGAATCCATATCCAAAAATCTTTATAAAGGTACTTCTTAAAATTTGCAAGGCTATTTATACCCTGCCACTGTATATAACGTCTCTTTTCAACATACTAGAAAGCAAAGAAAATGGAAAAAAGGCACTAAGAAGGAATGAAAGAATAAAGATAACGAAAGCAGTTCAATAAAGGAGCATACCTAAATTCCCCTCCTCTTTTTCTCGAACATCTTGGAAAACTTCTCAGCAGGTGACATCTATAAGGAAGCTCTTGCAAAACCACCTGAGGAATTCAAGCAAGATGTAGGGAGAAAGCAGGCAGATGGCAAGGGCAGAGATGGGGATGAAGCCAGGGAGAAAGGTCTTTTCTACTATATGAACCTGCTTTTTATAAGGTTGACATTAAACTTCATTTAGACAAAGGACGGAAGTGATATGGTGCCAGATGACTAATACCTTTGTCACTGATGAGAATTTATTCCCTTGAAGATTTTGATAAGGGCCAGGCGCCGGTGGCTCACGCCTGTAATCCTAGCTACTCAGGAGGCAGAGATCAGGAGGATCGCGGTTCGAAGCCAGCCTGGGCAAATAATTCGCAAGACCTTATCTCAAAAAGCCCTTCACAAAAGTAGGGTAGTGGAGTGGCTCAAGGTGAATTCAAGCCCCAGTACTGCAAAAAAAAAAAAAAAAAAAATTTTGATAATGAAGACTCACTACAAACAAAATTGTCTTCTCAACCTATGCATCTGAGTGTTACAAGCCAACGAAGGCTGAGTTTGTTTATGTGAAGTAAGGACTCTCCATAGTGATTCACTTAACTGACCATTTCCCAGTCAGTCTTGAAAATTATATGAGAACTCACAATCTTGGCCACCGGGAAGGGGCAGGGAGGGGGAGGGGAGTTAAAGCTAACCCAGACTCTCAGCTGCTTCTGGATTGAGGAGACCCTTGGGGTAGGTCACAGTACCAGTTCTGTACACCTTTGAGCGCAGTGAGGATTGGCTTTACCCTCTGTGCACAGACAAAACCTAAAGTGAGGTAAAGTGAGTCATTGAAGTAGAGGTTCAACCAGATGGCCTGCTGAGCACTGAAGGTGCACCTGTTGACACCAGTCTTATCCCCGATGTTTAGGGGACTGCGACAGGAGAGAAATGAAGTGCAGTCACTATCAAGGGCTGGCCCATTAAGGAAGGTGTGGAGGCTGAGTAGTGTGGCTAGAGAAGAAGGTGGCAGACTGTGCCACAGTAACTGTGCTCTGCAAATAATAACACCCGTGCACGTGCGAGAAGGTAGAGCTTGTTAATGTAAGAAAAAGGAAATCATGTCGCTTGTAACGTGCTCAAAGTACCGGGATGAGAGAAGACAGACACAATACACACAGGCGCAGGGCTCACATGTACATGTTATTTTTCAGTTTAGTTTCTTACAATCTTCCTTTCCTGATTCCACAGCACAGAGGCTAGAAGATTCTAGTAGATTCCAGCTATAGAAGTTTATGCTACTCAGAAAATATATGGCTAGCAAGACAGCATCCCTGTTTTCTCCTAAATGGTTTATGTATTCGTGAACAGCGAAGCCTTTAGAAGCAAACGGATGTCAAATAACAGAATCATACCAAAAAATGACACAGGAGATTTTCAGACTTGATTCTAAAGCTAATTCTAACTGATCGGGTGGTTTTCATCACCTCCATGTACACCCTCACACATCCAAGGTGGGCCAGCTCAGCTGTGTCATCGTCTGGGATGGCAATATGGCCAGGAGATTTCTTGGAAAGAAGTGGCCAGAGGCCATAAGAGTCTGGGCACCATAGTCTTTTAGGACTGTGTCTCCATGAAGAAGGCCTTTCTGTCATCAGGTGTGGCTGGAAACTGGTTCACTTAGAAGGGAGAGGGCGAGATCGGACACTCCAGAGCTGGAGGCGGCGGCCGGGAAGTCTTTGCCTTGCACTGGAGTGTTACACAGCGTTCAAGAGGATGTCACCACAGGGAATTTCTGTGGGTGTTTCTGGAGTGATGCTTTTAATAATGCGCTGTTGGGAAGAAAATGCAATGTCATAAACAGCCTTGTCATTAACAAAATTGCAGAAATATTTCAACATTAATGTTCAAGCTCAAATAGCATTTTAATTTTTTTTTTCTTGGTGGTACTAGTGCTCTACCATTTGATCTACGCCCCTAGTCCCCTTGCTTTCAGTTTGTTTTTCAGATAGCGATCTATACTGTTGCCTGGCCTGGCCTCGGTGATCCTCCTACCTCTGCCTCCCAAGTAGCTGGGATTACAGATATGAACTACCACACCTGGCCTAATGACATTTAATAGTAAATTGGAATAATCTCATTGACTTTTCTTAAGAGAGGAATTCCCAATTTGTTTATTCTCAAATATGGATAAAATGGTATAGTCAGTAATTATAAGCATGTATAATACCACTATTATAGCACTAATGGGGGGAAATGAGCCTTCAATAGAACCTCTGCCTATACTGGGCTTTTGAGTGACTTGGGCAAGGACACCTCATTTTCTAAATAGAGGCATCTCCCTGTGGCCACAAAGGGCTTGGGGAGCAGAATGAGAGCTGGATTTTGGTCCCCCTTCCCTTCAGTGAGGTTCCTGGAGCCCTGCATGCACACTACAGCTATGGTGCCCGGTGCCATAAGCCACTGCAATGGCCAGGATGTTACTGATTCAATGAATTCACCTGAAAAGATGGCAAATGACCACATCACGAAATTTTAAGAGGTGGCCATTTAAATCATTTCTAGAGCAGTGTCACCTTGATGTAGTGCCTGTCACAGAAGAAGCTGACAATTTCCACTGCTGACAGTGACATGAAGCAGCTCAGGGATTTGAAGAGGAAAAAGCAGCAGCACTACAGAGGCTTAGAAAAATCCTTATTAAGTTGCTTATTAAAATCTGATGACCAAAGGTCTGTAAGCAGGCAAAATTATATCTGAAGTTACGTTTTGATTTATTGTCTTTAGATGAAGCTTTGCAAAAGACCTTTTTATTTTGGATTGAAAAAGTATGAGTACACTTCAAGTTTTTATCTTTTTTTTTACGGTACTGGGGCTTAAACTCGGGGACTTCACCTTGACCCACTCCACCAGCCCTTTTTTTCTGATGAGATTTTTAGAGATAGGGTCTTGCAAACTATTTGCCCGGGCTGACTTTGAACCGAGATCCTCCTGATCTCTGCCTCCTGAGTAGCCAGGATTACAGAAGTGAGCCACTGACACCCAGCACTTCAAGTTTTTCTATTTTCTGCTTCTGGGGATTTGTTGTTCTTTAAAGATCAGGGTCTACAGAATTTAAAAAGTTCCATTCCCACAGTTAATAAAATTCCTGAATACTAAACTCTCACACTAGAAATCCACTAAAAAAGGAGTCGTTGCAGTGTTCATTTGGTATGAGGGCACTCCAAGTCACTGAAAGCAAACTTTCAGAAACCATCCATTCCCATAAATGAATCTCTGAACTATAATTGGCTTAACAGAACTATGCCCTGCTAACTGGGAATGAGACGCAGACCACTGTACCTAGTCTTGAGTGGGTGTAGGGCATGTAGAAGAGATTGCTAGGGCGTGTGGTAGAGGGCAAGGCCACTGTAAAGAGGAATGCTTAACTTTTGTACCCTAACCCCGTCCACATATTCTGGCTACTGAGTTCCCAAAATACCAGGCCTAGTTTTGTTGTCTATATTTTGGCAGTATTCTAGTTGCCAGACTACAACTGCTTTCAAAATTTGTCAGGTCCTGACCTACACAATGGTAACCAACCAATCTAAGAAATGGACCACTGGTGACATCTTCATAAACAAGTGCTCATTAGGGACCACCTTCCAGTAACTCTGTGCAGGCTGTCAGGGGTTTCTGCAACAATTACCTAAGCCAGTAGATGACTCCAACCTTGAGACTTCCAACTATAAAAAATTCTAGACCCTCAGGGTACTTGGCAAAACCAAAAACGACCAAAACGTGGTATGCTTCATTGCGCTCAGAGACTAAGCATACACATGAGAACGTGAAAAGGTTTTGAGAAGTCATTTTAAAAAAACCTGTTGAATTTGCTTTAATTTAGCATTTCCTAAAACTGACTATATAACATTTTCCCCCAGCAGTGTCTCCTGTTGCTGTCCTATGATACTCGTCCTCAAAACACACTTTTCACATTCCTGTTAGAAAATGACCATAGCATTTTTTTTTAATCATAATCTCCACTTAAAATCAGTGCATAGCTCTAGAGAACACAGGCCTGCTGTCTTGCCCAAGGGCATGCAGGAGGCAAAGCAGTTGTCTGATAAGCTTAGGAAGCTCCCCACCATCCCACCACCCCACCACCCCAAAGATCAGCTCACTCTTTTGTTGTATTTGGGAGATGCCTGATGATACCAGTGGCAGACATTAGAGGTCTACACCATGGTGTAGGTATCTAAATATTTAAGACTGAGAGTCTTCCGGTTGAGTGAATTTCATGTAGATTTACCCCTTTTGAATACACCAGAACAAGGGAATAGTTTTTCCCAAAACAGTTGCCACCTGAACACATACACACACACCTCCTTAAACGTCCCTGGAGTGATGATCAGCCGGTAAGTGATGTACATGGGGACGCAGATGATGGACGAAGTTCCTATGCAGTAACCCAGGATGACACTCCAGTGGGGATAATTATACTGGAAAAGTCGCAGCTGGGGTGGGCTCATCAAAAAACTGCAAATGATGAACTAAGACAGAAATTCCAAGAAACATTAAAAATCTTCACTATCCCCATGTACATAGAGACAGTTCTGATACCAAATGCCAAAGGCTAAGATACTGTTGAGCTATGTCCTGGGTTTGAACTCTGATGCACACAATTACCAATTTCTGCACCTAAGCTACAAAAATAACCAGGTGCTTCTCTTGGTTTCCTTCATGATCCCGAATCTTGGGGCCTACCGTGGGGATGTCACTGCAATCCTACAGTGACCCCCTGAAGTCAGGGAAGCTACGGCCCTTCAGAGCTGCCTCCTGCCAAGGAGAGACAGGCATCCATCGGGGCTGGACAGCAGAGGGATGAGCTGGGTGGCTCCTCTGCTGTCCCCACCAGGCTAGGGCTTCATATTCCTCTCTGCTTTGTTCCTTTTCCTGCATTTCTCCACTGTGGTTGGCTTTGGTCAGATGGAAGATTCCTTATATCTCAGATAGATCATAAGGTTCTTCAGACTCGAGGTCCTCTCAGGTTCCTGGAAACATTCCTTTTCCTCTTCCTCTGCAAATGTTTTCTGCAATAAGCTCTGTCACCTGGAGTTTCACCAGGATGGCTCTCAGGGAGGCATTCCAAGACCTGCCTTCCTGCCACAGGTCCTCATAATGAAAGGAATTACGGGATGATAAAAACAGCTTAACGTACTTTTCACATGAAAACTTTGATGAAGAAAAATTCCACAGTGTGCCCCAACACCCAATTTATGAGTTTTCTTATTTCAGTTTGGTTTTCAGAGTATAAATGTCAGTTTTTGCCTGGTAACCACTATGCCAATATTGTTATTGCTCTTGATTTAATTTTATTATTTCATAGTCATAAAGGAGACAGTAATATAAATTATCTGTGTGGTTAAACATCTATTTATATCTTTTTCTTCCTTTGTCTGCAGATAATAAAATGGGAAATTGTCAAACACACATCTGTTTTCTGAGCACTGTTATCCTAAGTCCTGGAGGAGGCCTTAAAAACAGGAGTCTGGTCAATTCAAACCTTTCTCCTGCCCTACTCTGCTCCTCCCCAGACACTGCTACTGCGGAAGTTAATGTGGGGACGAGGACTGACGGTGTGGTTAGGAGCCTTCCCGGCCAGAACCCGGCTCATCTTGATGTCAGGTGTGTGAAATCTAAGTCAGGAGGCGCAAGCTTTGCATCAGAAACTCCTTACCCTCTCGCACAGCCCGGCCTCTCCTTGCTCATACACAATATTTTCTTGTTTCGTAACTTGATTTCAGTGAAAAAGAGTACTTTTAGTAAGTTACACATTGTTTACCTGAAGCAGCCTTAAAAAGTCCAGAGCAGGGGATCTGGTAAGTAAGTGTAGGAGTGGAAGACAGATTTGCTCCTCTTAACTGAACACTTGAGCACTTCCTTTAGCGTTCCTTTAGGGAACTGTAATGTGCCTGCACTCAAATCCGTATGTGGATTCTGCTGGGCAAAGGGACCTGGCGACCTCACGCCACCAGAAGTGAGAATGCCCAAAGCCTCAGGGCCAGGATGAGGGTGAGATGTGATGAGGCACTCACTCAGGCACAACATTTAAGGGGGAGCCAAAATATCAGTAATCAAATAACAAATTAGTGCAATCTGTAAGGGACAGCAGCTGACGGAGCCAGGTTAGGTAAGACAAGTGAGGTGAGCCATACAAGGGAAGTGAACTGCTTGGGTCGTGCCTATGTTTACTAAAATGTTATTCATCATGGATCTTTTTGCATTTCTTTTTTTAAATATTGCATTAAGATAGTGTTTGAGTACTGAGTTTTTTGACTCTCCTGGTGAGTGCCTCACTTGTCTTACCCCTCTGTACCCTGGACACCATTTCCTTACTGAGTGAGGAATACATAAGTAAACAAACAAACATGTTTCTGCCCTCAAGGAACTAATCCAATGTCCCTTCTTCCTTTGAAAAACAAACGAAAGAGTTTAAGTAGATTATCAAGAAACACAGGTATTAATACAAATTAATAACCTATTTATGTCAGGACTTCGGCTTCTGGCAATGGTAGGCCAAGTGATTCAGCCCAAACCTCTCACTAAAAACTGAAATTTCTGTATTAAAAAAAAATGAAGCCAGGCACGGTGAAAGCTGAGTTTAGGGCTGGGTGGGGAGATTTCCTAGCTCCAGTTCAAAAACATCATGGATGACATAGTGAGATTCCTATCTCAGAAGAAAAAAACAATTATTTTACTTAAAAGCATCAGAAAGTTGGTGAGGGGATAAGGAACTACCAGGTCAAGATCTAAGAAAACTCTGCAGCCGGGAATGTTTGCTGTTTGGGACAAATGCTGGTTTTGGTTTTGAAAACCTCTGGAATGCAGGAGAATGGAAGTCATGAGGGCTTCTGGAGTGCAGAGAGACACATGCAGCCTCACAACGGCGAGGATGAGCTTGTGAGCCATCAGGTATAAGTTAATGTTGAGATTTGTGGGGACACAAAAGTAAAAAGTAAAAAAAATGGACTGCTCAAGAAAGTCAAAGCAGGACTGGCAGAGTGTCTTCAAGTAGTAGAATGCCTTCCTAGCAAGTGTGGGGCCCTGAGTTCAAATCCCAGTGCTGCCAAAACCAAAAAAAGTCAAAGCTCAGAATGCAAAAGAACTGTTTTAAAGCAGGGAAAGGACCAGCTGTAAGGTAAAAAGGTCCTAAGACATAATGGGATGGGCCAGATACCCCCCACCAAGCTGAAGAGGGTTGAAGGAATGGCCTAATGACAATTCTGGCTCTGAAAGAGCAAAAGGCCCTCAAAAATAAAGTTACAGATAAATGAAAGAACTGAAGAGTAGCTCCTGCTGACACACAGAGTAGGTTTAGCCCAGGTTACCTGGGTGCACACTAAAGGCCAGCAGGGCATTGTCCATTTTTGGACACATGTGCACACAGTAGGGAGGTAAGAGGAAAGGAAGGACATGCAGGCAAGATGAAGTGAACAGTGGACACACGTTAGCAAATGGGCAATCCTTGGAGCTCAACTCTCTTTATCCAGGTCCTCGGGCAATAAATGGATTTCACTTTTGACTTGGACCTATGTTTGAGAACCTCTATGGGGGGGCCTCTTCCAGAAGATACAAACAAAAGTATACACACAAAATTGCTAGAACCCCTCATGGGCCTTCGAGTTCTTACTTGTTATGTAACTTCAATGTCACCAAGCCTCAACGTCCTTAAATGTACCAGCGGGAGTACTAGTGCTACAATTGCTTTGCAGAATTAGCGTGAGGATTAAAGAGCAATAGCTACAGGGTTAGCGCCAGTCTGCCATGGTGCTCAGTGCTGAACGATGCTATTTATCGTTGTCATCCAGCAGGGGACAGACGAGCTAATGTGACTGAAGCCCACATTATTCTACAGTGTTAGAAGTCAGAAAAGGGTGAGCGAGAGTGGGCACAGCGCTGGGAGGGGCGCGAGGGGGCTTCTGAAGTGACGGTCATGGTTTTGCTCTGTGGTACGGTTCTGAGTACATAGCGGTGCTCCATTTATAAAATGTCTTTGAGATGTAAACTTACACAGGAGAAGGTGATTGCTGCTCTGAGAGCCCCCCAGTTCCCAGGGCAGCTTGCACACTGCTCTGCATACATGTCACGTGTCAATAACATTTAGTTTTTAGTCAATGTCTGGAGGTGAGTTTTTTCCCCCAGGGCAAGAAGGACACCGGAAATGACAACTCACCAGAAGAAACACAGGGCTGATGGCTACCCAGCAGATCCTCCAGAACCATCCAGGGGTGAAGCCAAGCATCTCCTTCACGTCACTGCAGAACTGAGTGATGCCTAAACTCATCCAAGAAAGACTGATTTACTGGGAAGACACAGACTGTCCTTCTCTCTCCTGATTCTCAGAGAGAGTCAGGGTCACTGGGATCAGTATTGAGAAAGACAAGGAAGAAAGAGCTGGAATTCCATACGAGGGGCTTGGGAACAAAATCTGGTGTGACAGCGGGACTGGGAGAGGTTACAAAAGTGTATTGTCATAGCAAGAAAAGCTCTTTCTACACAGCAGGCGGGTTGATGGACATTTGAAGAGAGGCTCAATGCCCCTTGGCGCATTTCTAAGACCTTTCGCTTTCTGAGCTCTCTACGTTCCCTAAGTTGATTTTACTGTTATTATAGAAAAGTTGAATTTTGTTTAGGAATGTGAACCTGCCAAGCAGAGACCAACTTTGACAGTTCACTGGAAACTTTCAAGGGAAATTTTTAACTACAATATTGCCTATTCATATACCAGATCAAGATCAAGGTTCTATAAAAAGTTACCGGCACAGAATGAGAACTGAGAACTCCCACTGACTGGTGGGAGACTGCGGGGGACAGGTAGTCAAGGTGGCTTCCTAGGGCAGGTCTGCAGTGCTTCTTAAACTTTGAACTTCTCAAACTCCTCACTGAGGGAGGAGGATTTCTTCTTTTTGAAAAACTGGGCCTGTGTGCAACTCACAATGTACCCTCCCCTCTTCTTTATAATATGTGCAATGACTACCATGTTAAACGTGGTCACTGGTAATCAAGTTTTATAGGAAACAGGAAAACAAATGCATTTTTAGAATGAGACAATTGATTTTTTTTTCTCCTGGTTCTGGGGATTGAACCTGGGAACTCCAGTGTGCTAGACCAACACTCTAACACTTGAGCTACGCCCACACCTGATAGATTGCAGAGAGATGGTGGTCTTCATTTCAATTGTCTGTGCCCTCCCCAGCCCACCTAGGGGTTCCTGGCAATGGACCATCTGAGCTTTCTCCCCATATCCTGGTGGGTTCACCCTTATAAATCCCATCCCAGGACTGGAAGGGATGAATTGGGGCAGCTACTACCAAGAGAGCATTTTTGCCTCTTTGTTAAGAGGTAAGTGGCTAAGATTTGTCTCAGAACTCTTGCTTGAGAAATTTAAATTTGGGGCCAGCCTGTTTAGCAGTAGTATACTGTCCACTCTGCAAATGCATTTTGTGTGCACTTTTTTTTTTTTGTGGTACTGAGGCTTGAATTCAGGGCCTACACCTTGAGCCACTCCACCAGCCCTTTTATGTGATGGGTTTTTTTGAGATAAGGTCTCGCGAACTATTTGCGGGGCTGGCTTTGAACTGCGATCCTCCTGATCTCTGTCTCCTGAGTAGCTAGGATTATAGCAGTAAGCCACTGGTGCCTGGTCCCATGTGCACTAATTTTATGTTGTCTCTCCAATTCATCAGATCCACCATGATCTTAAACCACTGCGGAGAGCGAGTTAAATGGAACCACTTCAGCCTTCCTCCACTGGGTAAACATTCCCACTCAGAATGGAAAGACGTGTGCGCCCTTGACAGTACGGGAAACCCACTGTAAAGAGCGCAGAGGAAATGACTTACTGAAGAAGACACTCAGCTGAGATTACTTTATTGACCCATCAGGAGGTCACGTTTTGTCAACTTCCCCCTCCTGTCTTTCTTTGATGGCATCGGCCCTTCTACCTGTGTGGGTTGAGGGTGCTGTAGAAAGGATCTCCACTGGCAGAAGGGAGTTCTTACCATAGAACCAGGACACAGCAACTGCTTCTATAAGTGCCACTGTGAGTACCGCAGGCCCGGTGGCATACTCCTCCAGCAGCTTCACCACATAGGCCCCTCCCTGGGAACCAGATCACAAACCTAGGTAAGTACCCTCTGAGGCACCGCCCCTCCTTACTCCAGAGGCCACAGAGTTTCTGAATTTAGGATTATTTGAAAATTCCCGCCCTGTAGCCTGCCTCCTGGTGTGGCCTTTGAGTGTGGGCAGGTTTCACCCATCAGACTCTGCTTGTTCTGTGGTGTGTTTTTTTTCGTTCTTAATGGTGTAAGGAATGGGATCCAGGGCCAGGTGCATGCTAGGCTCTGTCACAGAGCCACACGCCAGCCCCAGAGCACATCCTTGTTCCCACTCCCCACCTGAGCTTTAAGAGATAAACTCCAAAGAGCCTCTGGAGCTATTTTCAATTTCAACTTACTGAACACCTCAACCTGGGAGAATTCCCACCTCTGAAGATGGAATCTGGGGGAGCATGACACTGGCACATTAGCACTTTGGTCACAGATCTTGCCTTCTATTCTAACCTGACAACATGGGATCCTATGAAGTCCCATCCCCCACCCTGCTGAAGATGCAGAGCCCTTAAAGGGGGCCAATCTAGGCAAAATCTGCCTAGGATGTCTGTGGTGTTCTCTGATGCATGCCTTACCATATTTGCCTCAGATACCACAATAGAAAAAAAAACATTGCTGGAGAGGGTCTGACTTCTTTACCATTACAAGTTCTAGAGGAGACAAAGTGGCATTACACACAGTAAGACACCAGTCGTCACCTATTCTGCACATCAAGACATCAGAAGCCAGACACTGGTGGTTCACACCTGTAATCCTAGCTACTCAGGAGGCAGAGATCAGGAGGATCTCGGTTTGAAGCCAGCCCAGGCGAGTAGTTCACGAGACCCTATCTTGAAAATACTTAACACAAAAAGGGCTGGTAGAGTGGCTCAAGGTGTAGACCCTGAGTTCAAGCCCTAGTACCGCAAAAAAAAAAAAAAAAAGACATCAGTGCAGGGCTAGGCAAGGTGGCACACACCTATAATCATAGCTACTCAGGAGGATCATGGTTTGAGGACAGCCTGGACAAAAAGTTAGTGAGAGCCCATCTCAACAACAAGCCAGATATAATGGTGTACAGCTGTAATCCCAGCTATGCGGGAGGTAGAGGTTGGAGGATTGTGGTCCAAGGCTATGGGGTTGTGGGGGAAGTCACTAAAGTGTAAAAAAGGACTGGGGCATGGCTCAAATGGTACAGTGCCTGCCTCAAAGCATGAGGTCCTGAGTTCAATTCCAGTATCACAAAAAAAGAAAAAAAAAGACATTAGGACAACATTCCCATGAAAGCTGCACTAAGGAGTGTAAGTAGACTAGAAATACAAATCCTACTTTCTTCTCCGGGTATTTTGCCCAGCCTGAAATATAAGGATCTATTGTAAAATGTGAACAGCCTATAGATATAATGCACAGATGCCATATATGATGCTGCCAAAAAACACCTTTCTTCTTTCTTTGGTGACAAACTTTTTTTTTTTTTTGCGGTGCTGGAGTTTGAACTCAGGGCCTACCTCTTGAGCCACTCTACCAACCTTACTTTTGTGATCAGTTTTTTTCAAGATAGGGCCTCATGAACTATTTGCCTGGGCTGACTTCCTCCTGATCTCTGCCTTCTGAGAAGCTAGGATTACAGGCATGAGCCACGAGCACCTGGCTTTTTTTTTTTTTAATTTGCCATTTTGGTGGGGGCTGGTATGGGGTTTGAACTCAGGGCCTCATGCTTGCTAGGCAGGCACTCTACCACTTGAGCCACTCCACCAGCCCAACTTTTTTTTTTTTTTTTTTTCAATTGGTTCTGGGGATGGAACCCAGGGCCTCGTGTATACTAAGCAAGTATTTTACCACTGAGCCACTAACCCATGGTGACAAACTTTTTAATGGTGGTAACAGCTCCCCTTCCTTAGGCCCCCAAATGAGGTCATTATGTGGGGACATGAAGGAAATGAACAGCTTCGAACGGTATTCAGTTTGTGGAGCCTAACTCAGCGCCGAAAGCCATAATACTTACAAAAGTCAGGGTGGTCAGGGATCCAAAGAAGCAAGTTATGACTACAATGAGCACAAACCACTCCCGGCGCTTGGCCCAGATGTGCGGAAACTCATCCAGCAAAGCCGTGATCACCCCCTCCAAGCCTGCAAACTGAGAATACACGCAATGTCACAGGGGAGACTCTGGAACAAGTCTGTGCCTTCGGGTCAGTGAACAGGAGGAGAGGTAAGAATGTGAGTGACCAGTCTAGCTGACCATCTCTAGTTCCCTAACTTGCCGGCTCATGAACACATCTGGAAAGATGTTCCCATCCATCCTTAGGGACATCCAGGAAAGAAAATAAGCACATGTACAAAACTTCAGTACGTGAGGTTCCTCAGGGAGACTGGTCACACCAGAAAGGTCAGCTCAATGCTGAGACTTACTCCACACTAATAGGTGCAAGGTGTTAAGCCGAATGCTGGGCAGGGCAGAGACACAAGAGCGACCTCACCCTGGCCTTCAGGTGCCCTCACCTGATTGAGGGTCAGCACACAGTAATAAGGAATTCACCTACGCTGAGCCCTTTGCCAGGGCCAGGTACTTTCTCCACGTTATCCCATCAGGGACTCTGTAATATCTTAGGGGCAGTAAGTGCCATCACCCAGGAGTGGGCAAGAGCTTGGGGAACGTCAGGAGGGAGCAGCCCTCCTTTCCTGGGAAGGCCCAGGTGGAAGGAGATGGGTCCCTCCTCCTCCTCCCAGAAGCTGGTGTCCCTCTGCACTCACTCACCGTGCTATCCAAGCCCAGTGTGATCAGCATGAGGAAGAAGATGATGGCGAAGAAGGTGGATGCTGGCATGTTGGCTATGGCCTCTGCATATGTAATGAAGAGGAGGCTGGGGCCTGTGGGAGCGGGAGACAGGAGAAGGTGGGTGCTGAGACCTGTCCTGCAAAGATGTGCCGCAGATTAAAATTCAGCCACACCAACAATGAACAACTCTCATGGTAAGAACCGCCCACGAATCAGACTTTGACTAAGTGCTCCTCACCCTCCATGCCAGCGTACCTGGCCATCCCGACACCTGGGAGGCCAGGAGAGAACAGTATCCACCTTAAAATTTGTGTCCTGTTAACACGGGGAATGGGAACAGAGTCAAGACTGGCAATACTGGGACCAGAACAGGAGTTTCTACTATGTAACAAGTCAGTGATTTATTTTCAGAGCCAGGATTGATATTTCTAAAACCCCCTCTGATGTCTTCAGCTCCAAAAGAGTAGGAGAGGAAATAAAGTCCTCCTGCTATTTTCAAGTCCCCTTGGATTGTGTGAGGACCTATCTTCAACCTTTCATGGGACTAGCTAAAAGTACCCTTGTTTGGGGCATGTGTTGATCAAGACACCACATCAGGCCAAATATACAAGTAAATCTATAAGAAAGGCCCAGAACACCCCTCTTTTCAACATCTGTCATGCTTTTCTTTTTCCATGAGACCCTCACAGGGCAGCAAGTAGAGTGACCCCATCAGCTACATTTTATTCTTCTGCAAAGGGCAGTTCGGAGATTAGTGATTATTTGCCTACCAGACTGGACCCAACACAACATCGTCACAGGACCCAAGTCCGCTGGTTTTAAAGCCGCCATCAAGTCATATTGTCAAACCCCTCACGGGAGGCAGAAGGCCCCAGTCCCGGGCATCAAGGGAACTGCCCTATCCCTGAACGCATGGGAAGGGTGAGATCTCCAAAGCATCAGGTTTCTCTCAAATCCTTGAAAATGTAAAGGGCCATTCAGGGATAATTCAAAAGTTAGCTATTTTATAGAAGTTCAAAGAAAAGCAACTCAGTAAACACGGTCCAAGGTCCTACCTGCATCTTTGGCCACCTCAGACACATCTTCGTTCCTCATCTCAGCCATGTAACCAAGCACCGTGAAGATGACAAATCCCGACACAAAGCTTGTCATGCAGTTCACCATACTGGTCACCAGTGCGTCTCTGGGGTGGAAAGCCCAAGGGGCCTGAGACAATTCTGGAAAGGGGATTCTGTGCCTGCCTTGCTGAGACAGGCCTCCACGGCTCACAGGACCCCCAGACTGCCCTGGTGTCCCTCCAGTTCTCCCACAGGCTGCTTCCCAAGCTTGGAACACAAATGCTGGAACCACCATCCAAGCCACCGGGAGAGTAGCAGCTGGGGTCCCTACTGTGGAACAGCACAGCACAGACCTCTCCATTTCAAACCGAAGAGGTGCTATTCTGGAGTAGAGGATGGTGCCTTGGCCTCATGTTTGTGAAGTCCTCAGACTTAGATGTTTGACATTTATCTTCAAGTGAAGTCACAAGACTGCTACAGAGATGTCCTGACTTGTTTTTTTTGGTGGCACTGGGGTTTGAACTGAGGGCCTTGTGCTTGCTAGGCAAGTGCTGTACCACTTGAGCCATGCTTCCAGCTCTTCCTGACACTTTTAAAAAAGATTTCATCATACAACTTCAGGCTAGTGTACCAAATGCAAGGCCATATTGCGTACTGTGTATACGATCTCCTACCCCTCTATCTTTCTTTAAAAAATAATTTTTTTTTTGTGGTACTGGGGCTTGAACTCAGGGCCTATACTTTGAGCCACTCTGCCAGCTCTTTTTTGTGATGGTTTTTTCAAGATAGGGTCTTGTGAACTATTTGCCCTGGCTGGCTTTGAACTGTGATCCTCCTGCTCTCTAGCTGAGTAGCTAGGATGACAGGCGTGAGCCACCAGCACCTGGCTATAAATTCTTCATTGTTTCTTAAATAACACAAATCAAGTACTGGACATTGCCACTGTGATAGGACACTAAATTAAGTCTAAAGGCAAAGAGTGGCACCTAAGTCATCATTAGTGCAATACTCCTGTTTTGCTAAAATATCAGAAGTGATTTTTCCACAAAAATTGTGGCATTTCATGTTGGTCAAAATAATTCCATTAGTATAATTTTTTGTGTATATACATAAACAAATCACATTACAGTTTTTGTTAAATATATTAACTAGCTAAGCCCATCTATTTAATTGTATGTTGTCATTTTTATAAACCTCTTGTAGAATTTCTTAATTATTTTTATATGTAGAGACTCACAAAACAGAAGTGGCCTGGGGCCTCTCTCAACCTCTGAGTGGCCCAGGTAAAGTTATGGCCTGAGTGGGTACCCTGGTCCTGGGGGTCAAGCCAAAAGCCTGTGGCAGCCCTGAGAGGCAGTTTTTTGTGGCCTGCACCCAGTCAGGTTGGAGGCCATCAGTTCAATCGTCTTCCTCCAGACCAGCTGGCTTTTGCTCACTTTACTTCTCAGCTTTGCACAGGGGCCTCGGATACTCACTGGTAGCAGTTGTTGTTGAACTTGTTGTAGCTAGCAAATGCCAGGAGGACCCCAAAGCCCGGACCAAGAGAGAAGAAGATCTGAGCTGCTGCGTCCACCCACACCTGCAACGCAGCAGGGGAGGCATGGGGTGAGGGTGAGACCCAGGCTAACGCAGGCACCAGCATGGCAGCACCTCTCATGTCTCCCTGTGACTGTACGCAGGGCAAGGCCCAGCTTTTTAAGGCTCATCCAAGGGATGGGCAACACAGCCCGTGGAATACAGGTGAGTCCTCTTCCTATTATTTAGGCTTACACCATCCAGTGGCCTCTACTGTACCTTTCTTTCTTTTTTGAGATGGAATCCCACTTAGGAGCCCAGACTGGTCTTGAACTTGTGATACTCCTGCTTTAGACTGCTGAGTGCTGGGATTACAGACATGTTCTATCATGCCAGGCCTCAACTATACTTTTTATGCTTATAGTTCTAGTTAAAACTATCCTTAAAGATATGCACATTGTTTGTTTTATTTTTTGGCGGTACTGGGGTTTGAACTCAGGGCCTCATGCTTGCTGGTTAGGCCCCTACCACTTGAACCACACCCCTAGCCAACATATTTGCACATTGAAACTAAACTGTAGTTGTCCCTACTGTCCTATTTAAAAGGGAAATAGCTACATGTAGCAAATGACAGACACGTGAACACTGTTTCCTTTAATAACATACCCCTGTCTCTAGGAGTTTTTGCCAGTTGGGTTTCAAGTAAAAGACAACACCCCTCCAGGCTCCAGGGAGGGTGGCCCCCCTCACCAGCAGGATGGAAAGGACAATGTAAGGGAAGGTGGCTGTCACCCACACGACCTGTAAGGAAGGAGAGTGGAAACATGTCATCGCCACACTGTTCCAGGGAGAGCAAGGGAGAGAGACGGGTGGGTGCAGTGTCTTATTCCTGAAGGACCTCTGAGAAAGGGAGTCCACCTTTTTTCTTGTCATTTTATGAGGCAAGATGATGTGACCAAAAGGTCACTGCTTTCACAGACCGACAGACAGACAGGGATCTGACTCAGCTTGGCCAGTACTACCTATCTCTAAACCCACCCCACATCTGTAAAGTAGAGAGTACATCTAGCAGGAAGCAATAGGGTTGGTCAATGTAGATAAAGCACTGAGCATGGTCCACGATGGGCTGTCAGGAAATTAGTGCCACAATTAGTAACTGTGACTCTACCATCAGGTTAAAGGAATTTTGAAAGAAATACATAATTTTTAATATAAAGAGGCTGTGCTGCACCCCTCCCTTACATGCACTTATATGTACGTGGCTCATGTCTAGAATCTTCTAACTGATGTGGACGACCTAACTGATGTGGAATGTGTGTGGTGTTGAAGGAAACAATGATGGTCCGCTGATCAGCAGTGGTGCAGCTCTGGATTCTGAGTTCGACACTGTGGGACCCTTGGCAGGCCTGGAGCGGTAGCCAGAGCACTCACCTTGCCAGACGATTTGACGCCTTTCCAGATGCTGAAATAGATGATGGTAAAGATGAGCACGATGCAGAGAGCAAGCTGCCAGCTGATGCCCCCCAGGTCCTGGAGACCCTCGGACCGGTGGATCTGTAGGACGTGGCGCCTGGAGCGACAGAAGGAGAGGCCTGTGAGAAGATCTAGAGAGTGAGCTGAACACTTCATCTGTGATCCTTCTAGAAGGGCGCCCAGAGAAAAATGGACACTGTGCTGCACAGACCAAGAGGTCCTCAGGAATGGCTGGGATGGGTCCTGCTGGTCCTGAAGGAGCAAGCAGCTCATTCAGCCAATAGCCCTGGGGGTAGGCCTCAGCCCCAAGCCAGAATTCCTGGTTCCTCCTTTGCTGTCTAGGACCTGAAGTTCTTGACTAACATGACTGACTTTCAGACACACGAGGATTTATATTTGTGGGTAGTGGGTCCCCTCCCTTGCCCTAGAGTAGCTCTGTCTTTAGGCTTCCATTGTCTGAAATTCTTGCATTAAAAACACTACTGGGCTGGGGGTGTTGCTCAGTGGTTAGAGCACTTGCCTGGCATGTACAAGTCGCTAGGTTGAATCCACAGCACTGCAAAAACTAAACAAAAATACCACCTTCTCTAAACATCTTCCAAAAGGTAGATCCCACTTCCGAAGTCAACACATTAAATAAGAATTTAAACTATCTGAATAGTTTTGAATAATTGAAGAAACAGGATGTTTTGCTTCCACGGCAATTGGCTGGGAGGAGGAGCCAGAAGGGCAGTTTTGGTGCGGAGAGGTATGTTGGAAAGTGAAGGGAGGGGTCAGCTTGGGGGTGATGGAGCAGCCTGGCTGGTACATGGGAAAGGTAGCGGGGTGGCACAGAATGGACAGATCATGAAACACTCAAGGCAAAGTTTCCCAACTCCAAATCCTGCAACTCCCTCACTCCTGACAGCTTCATCTCTTAGAAACCTGCCAGCAGAGGAGTGCCGAGCCCTCAGCCCACACCTGCTTCCTAAAGTGCCAAGCCCCAAGGGTGTGCCCTGCCCTTCACAGACCACCTCCTCATTCACATGCACTTACGTATAAAATTCTTCAGCAGGGGACGTGGAGTGGAGTGTCCAGGTGATGTTGTCCTCGGAGAAGTAGTTGGTGCAGTTACCAGTGTTCCAGGGGTTCTTGCAGCTGGTCCAGGGGAGCTGGTCCGTGAAGGAGGAGATGAGGTAGTAGAGCGCCCAGGCCATGATGGTATTGTAGTAGGAAGCAATGTAAAAGGCAATGACGCAGATGGCAAAGCCAATCCCTGGGCAGTGGGGGAGAGAGGCCATGTTCAAAGGGCAGCCCAACCGTGAAAGGCTGAGACAGGGCACCAAAGAGTCTGCAGCCCAGGTGAGAGGTAAAGATGATTCTGCCATCCATGTCATTCCCACTGACTCCAGCAGAGGGCAGGGAAGTTGGCAGTACAGTGGGTTACTCGTGTGTATTTGTAAACTTTCATGGTTCAGAAATGGGTGCTGTCAATACTCTAGATTTTTAAATTTAGTTTATTTTTAATTGTCAGTTATTCTGTTTCCTTCTTCACAGTTTCACATCACTTGAGCAATCAAAAATTTAAAAGTTATTGCTCAGAGACAGCCAAGGCCTGAGCGATTCCAGGAGTGGGTCCCACCTCCCACCCATTTGCAGGAAACGCCCTGCCCTCCCAAACCCTTCAGGTACCTTTGAAAATTGGGCAGATTTTCCTCCAGATGGAAATGCATCCGTTTCTGTGGTACTGGCCCAGCGCAAGCTCCATGTAAAAAAGCGGGATCCCCCCGAAAATGGCCATGATGGCGTAGGGGAGGAGGAATGCCCCTGAGGCAGAGGAGAGACAAGTTCACTCCCTGCCCACATCTGTCCCTCTGTCAACCCAACAGGACTTGAAGGGTCACACCAAGAATCACAGAGTCACCTGACGTGCAAGCATCACAGAGACACCCTATGCTGAGTGGCCTTACCCTGTGCTGCCCTGGTCTCAGTTCTCCGCCATATGTAACAGTAGACAGAGCTCTACAGCTAAAACAAGCTGGGTGTGGATGCAATGTATAATTGTCCTAGCTCCCGGGTGATGCTGATACAATCAGAACAGAGCCCCTGGGAACAGATCACCTGTTATGATCGATACCGCTGCAGCCACCTATGAGTCATGGAGCTGGATCTCTGCTTCTCAATATTATCTACAGCTCCAGCTTCCTTCTGAAGCCACCTTTGGGGGCATGGGGGTATTTCTTACAGAACAGGAAAGCACAGAGTTGCTACGTAGCTGGAGTTGCTGGTATCTCTCGGATCCTGTGGCTGAAGCTGAATTTGAAAATGCCAGGTTGGGGATTTCTCATCTGCAGCCTGAGTTTCAGCACAGAGGGTGGGACAGTTATGATAACTTTCCCTCCTATAAAATGCTTGGGTCCTAGAAACCCAAAGTCAGCATGACTCAAAAAGGTCCACATAACTTGCAATCACATTGGGTAAACCTGGCTTGAGAATAAAACCATGTTGTGCTTTCATGGTGACCTTCATTCAAAAGGTTTGCTTGATTGGCTTTACAGTAGGAAATATCACCAGGACCCAGCCCCTTGTATAATTCTCAGGCTAAAGGTGAGTCCTCCAAGCTAGAGATAAGGTGATTATGACTTCCGCTCCTCCTGGGCAGGAAGCTCTGAACCTCCCAAGGGCCGCCATGGAACTGCCTTTGCAGCCACATAGACTGAAGTCCTTAAAAGATCCAGGAAATGTAGGTAACTCTGTGTCAGGCCATGGAAGAAGTGAGGATGACATAGGCAAATTATCCCCAAAGCTCGCTCTACCTGCCCTTTAAAGAGCTCCTGTCAAAATAAATATTGACTGACCTGATACCCATTTCTTCTTGGCCCTTTCCTATTCTGATAACTAGTCCAGTGTCAACACAGAGGGCCCATACCTTCTCACTCCTCTCTCTGTGCTGCTCTCCCCAGCCTCCCACACTCACACCTACAGTCGGCTGTGATTTTTTTAAAGCCTATAGAGGCTTTAGGGTTACAAAAGAACCAGATATGGTTTCTGGCCTCAAAAATCTAACACTCTTGTAAGAGATATAGGTACATCCCACATGGTCTGGGGTTGACATTTGTGCCATGCTGTTGCTGGGTTCTGTTTAGACTCTGGACCTAAGTTGATGTCGTTCTCTGACCTCACACAGGTCCAAAGGCCCAGTAGGGTTTGGAGCCCTAGAGCCCCTTCTCAATTTTTCCTTACACAGATCCAACCCCTCCAGACTCTTCCAAGCAGAACCTGCCAGTAGGAGTGGAGGCTCTCACCCAGTGCCATGGCCATTCCCTGACTTCCGGCTTGGTGGAGGACAGAGCTAACACAGGATAAGAGGAGGCCCTTCAGCAAATGAAGCACTAATGACACTAATGAAACTGAGGTTGGATTGGGAGAGCTCCCAGCCAACTCCATAACCACAAGGCCTCATGCTGACCTTAACTTTGGGCTGGAAATTTGTCTCTCAGACCAGCATGGAAGTCTAAGCAGCCACATTCCCAGGCTCCTATCTGTTACACAAGACAGCTAAGGTGTGGTTTGTCTTCTGCCTCCCATGGGGACCTACAGCCCACTCCTGGGTCAGAGCCTCTGCTTGTGATACTGACCTCCTCCATTCTGGTAACAGATGTAGGGAAAGCGCCAGACGTTGCCCAGGTCCACCGCGTAGCCAATGACTGAGAGTAGGAAATCCATCTTCTTGCTCCAGGTCTCCCGTTCTCCTTGGTGAATCTCGGCCACTAGGGTGGTGGTGGCAGCCGGAATAGAGTGCCTAGTGTCATCTCCTATGCGAGGGTTGGGAACTGCTGAGTACCCACTGGACATTTGACTAGACTCTGCTCTGTCGCCAGGGGTGGGGACACCCTTCTGTAGAACGCCATTTTCCTGACAATCCTCTCCGTCCTTGCATGCCGACAGCGCCTTCTGAGAGTTCCAGGCTGTGGTCTCCATCCTGCGGCTAGTTAATGACACCGATGCCCATCTGCCAGTGACCTAAACTAATCCTTGTGCTTGGCTTTGTGTGTCTCCTGGGAGCTTTACAGCGACGGGATTGAGAGCTCTGCTGGGAAGGCACAGGAGAAAGGCATTTGCTTGTCTTTGATATTAACTCACCACACGTCTCAAACATCATTAGGTAACAGGATCACAAGTGCGCCTGTTACAGGTGAGCAACCCTATTTGCTACGTGAGTCAATAAAGTCAACTAAATTTTGCAGCCTATACAAGGTGTTGAATTCTAAGTAATTTGAAAAGGAAACAAAACAAAAATAGACCACAACTCTCCAAGAACAAGTGAATTGGCTTCACTTCGAGGGGCAAGAAGCAAACCCTGCTGTTTGTCAGTAACTCAGAGGGCTGTCAGGACAGGCTCCCGCCAGAGCACCACAAAAGTTGGTAGAGACAGTCCTCTCCATCATTTAAACTCAACCCCAAGTTAGATTTATGTAAATTACAGATAGAACCTAAAAAAAGAGAAGAGCAAAGGACAGAGGTGAGGGCCACCCCTCTGAGGTACCCCAACTGCTGGGCTGCGTCCAATACACCTGTGCTCAACCTTTCTGTTTCCCACAGCTCCTCTGTGGGTGTGACTGTGCCCTTCCCATCACTGCCGCTCACCATTCTTCCTGCCACTCACCAGCAGCTCCTGGGGCCAAGCTACTTGTTACCGCAACAGTGGGCAGACAGGTGTACTCAGTACAGAGACCCAGGGAGAAGAGTGCAGGTCACTGCGGCCAGCGCGCCTGGCGATCCTGGTCCCACACACCCTGGTGGAGAGGGCTGGGCCAGAGCTGCTGTGCCTTCATTTCACTGCCATGAGTTGGAGTGCAGGGAAGGCAGCTTGGCTTTCCTGTGGTTCTGAGCGCTGAGATTTCTACACCTGGGACAGAAACCTGAGCCCTTTCGGACTTTAAACCTATGGCCTGTTATAAACTTACAAGCAGCCAAGACCTTCCAGCTCACCTTGTTTCTCCTGGGCCTGAGTTTTCAAACTCTTGAAACAATTCAGTAGTTGACAGATGTTTCTGCTTAGTCAAAATCACCTTATCTTTTTCTAGAAACATACTGCTACCCTATTCACGAGGGCAAAGATTCCAAATCAACCTCCCAAATCCAATAGCAGGAGGGGGGCTAGAGACCATAAATAGCAAATGTACGTCTCCTACCTACTTGGAGTTTTTGGTGACTCTAAATTAACCATGTACACATAGAAATGTGAAGATAAGAACACAGTGGAGGGCTGGGGACATAGCTCAGAGGTAGACCATTTGCCTAGCATGTGTAAGACCCTGGGTTCATTCGATCCCCAATATCACAAAAAACAAACAAAAAAACCCACAATGAGTGAAAAACCAAAACACAAAGTAGGACCTTCACACCGAGGACTGTGGATAGAAATACTGACATGAGCACCAGGAGATGAGAGTAATTAGGGTTTTATGTTCATCGGGTTCTTTTCTTCTGTAAACTGGAAAATAAAAATTTTAAAAGGATTGATTGTTGCCAAAAATATCTACAGCAAAACGACATAAATCAGCTATATGTAGCCTCTGTGTGTGTGTGTGTGTGTAAGGGGGTAGATGTTCTGGGTTCTACCCTGTCCAGTTGTTTGGCCCCAAACCCAAACTCAATGATACAAATACCACTGAGAAAAGTAGGAATTTCTGATATAGCCCTCTAGATAAAACCTTACTCTCCTCCCCAGCCTCTCCCTGCTCCCCAAGTCCTCGGGACCTCAACTAGACTTGATAGAACTTTCTTTCTCTCTCTCTCCCTTTGTCCTCCCTTCCTTCCTTCCAGTCCAGGGGATTGAAAGACATTTAAAATAACCACATATCATCTCTCTCACTATAAGTTAACATTTAGCAGGTCAAGGGACTTTTTTTTTTCTTTCTGTTTTTTGAGAGAGAGAAAAATGCTGAGATGTTAATATGTTTAAATGTAAAACGAAGTTAAACTTGAACTTGGCAGGGTCTGGTTGTGTTTGAGAAGGCCTCTGGACTCCTTTTGGCCTACATCGACGACATGTTTTCCACACTAAACCCTGAAGAACCAGAAGACCAAAGGCAGAGACAGACAGCTTTGCCACGGGTGGCCAGATGGCACCAAACTGACAGCCTGCCAGTGATCCAGGTATTCCTTTCCCTTGCTCTTTCTTCCTCCGCCCCCAAAGTTTTCTGTAGAACTCTTTCTGTGTCCAACACTACCACCTTCCTCTTATTTAAATGATGAAGGGAAGCATGGACCCAGTCAGAAGCAAAGCCCTGGGCAGGGGGAGGAAACCCCAGCTACAGCAGTGACTCACTACCCTCCTGCCTCAGGAGCCAAAGTTTGTTCTAGATTGCATTTATTTTGTCCCTTGGAACATCCTGGAGGGAGAATGGGAAATGTGTGGATGGGGGGTGGGCAGTATTTTTTCCAGGATCCTCAGAGGTTCAGCCCCAACACATCTTACCTCTACTTCTTGGCAACTATGATGAGTGAGTGGCTCCTGGAAGGACAACACACTATTCTCTATTTTTGTTCTGACTTATTATAAAGTCTGGTTTCCTGAAATATCCCCCAGCACTTTTTAACTTGACAAAAAAAAATTAAAAATTTAAACCTGTTACAAGCATCCCTCAGGCAACCCATGGCATTAGGTGGCCTCTCCCCAGGGGTTGGTCCTCTCCATCTGGGGTTTTCCTACCATGTACCCCCAACCCTTGATCATAGCACATGAGGTGTAAACAGAGATTTAGCCACTCAAAGTCACAAAATAGGCCTTTCTTCAACTGGCTCCCCCGCCTCTCCCAGTTAGAAGAACCTCCCCTCAGTCAGGAGCAGCTGCCTGGCCAGGGGCCCCCTTCTGCCTGCAGTTCCTGCATGTGCCCCGCCCCCCCCATCTTTTCCCACTTTTCTGATTCTACAAAGCCCTACCTGGTTTTTCCACCGAGACCAGCAGGTAACAATAGTAGAGAATAAACTGGTCCAGGGATATAGAAATACAAGTTGTTAAGAAGGTTGGTTTCTGAGAATTCTCTCTTGAATCCTTTCCTTTTTAAAAGATATTTTTATCCTGCTGGGTAGGGAGATGGCAACAAGGTCAATTTTACAACCATGACCTCCTGTAGGCAGCCTTCGAGTTGTCCACAGTCAGAAAAAGCCCCAGAAGCCTTCTTTTGCCCCTTGTGGTGTGCTGTTGTCTCGGGTTGAGCAGGTACCCCTAGGTCCCCACACCTGAGGGGCAGCGGGGTAGTGCAGGTGACTTTTGTTCTCACTCCTGCTTCCTCTCAGCTACTCTCTCCATTTCCTCTAGTAAAACAGGGTTATTTCTGGGCTGGGGCTTTGCTCAATTGCAGAGCACATGCCTAGTGCACACCAGGCCCTGGGCTCCATCCTCAGCACCGTTTGTTTTTGTTTTCTTTTTAAAGGATTGTTTCTATTTAAACTTCAGATCAAATCTCCATTCTTCTTTCTACAAACTGTCTCTGTAGCCAGCGGAACCAGTATCTGAAGAAGCAAGTAATTATAACAATTAGTCATAAAACAAGCAGACTTTGGAAAGAAATGCCTGTGGCACTACTTGTCTGTGTGAGGCCCATCAGTATATTTTAAGCAAACACACTATAGAAATTTTATACTTTGACTTCATGTGTCAAGATCAAAGTAAGTTCACTTCTCAGGATACTTAATTTCCATTTTCAAAAACAAAACGAAACAAAACAAAACCCCAGCATGAAGTATAGCTTGAGCACTAAGATAAGATTAATTACAGGTCACCAAGCCAAGTGGCAACTTGCATTTTCTGAGCAGAAGGAGGGAGTCTAAAGTTCCCAAGGCACCTACCGAGGGTGACAGGCATGAGGGAACTCTAGTGCCTCCCAGCACAATAAACACCCGACCTGATACCCTGCCATGGAGAAGCACCAAGACAGGAGCAGTCCTGCCTTCAGGGAGTGCACAGTACAAGGCCAGAACCCAGCCATGCTCAGCAGGGGTGCTGGGCATGGTCTAGGGCACTGCACATTTCTAGCTGCCAAGTGCCCTCAGGCCTTTCCATCCTATTGTACAGAGACTGTCACAGATTTGGAGCTCACTTGATTCTTCCTCACAGGCTCCACCGAGTACTAGCTGGTTCACATCCGTATCTGTTGGGGGACTGCTGAGTGCTTTGGGGTGTGCAGCACACAGGTAAGCCATCAGGACCTGGCTGGCCAGCCAGGTAAAATACAGATGAGATACAAAGGGGCTAGAGAAAATCTGCTTGTGTTTGGGACATAAAGGGTAGAATGGACCCCACCCTCACTGCCATCCCCTAATGAGAAGGATTCCTCGGAGGAGAGTCAGACAGTGTCCTTTGAGAAACAGGAGTTAAATAGGATAAAGTCCTCGGGGCTCTAGGAGCTAGTTACTGTGAGGAAGAAGTCTCTGTCCAGAACTTCCCTGGCCAGGCAGCAGGGAGCAGGAGAGCCCAACTTCTCCATGCACAGTGTGCAGTCTGGAGGACTAGGCATTGGAATGGATCATGCCCAAGGATGGTCAAAAGTACAGTGGATTATTTAGACTTTAATAAAAAGAAATGATTTGGCATAAACATGACTAGACCTCCTTCAGGGAACATGAATGGCCAAGCCTAGGCCAACCACCTTCCTGAGTCACTCAAGAGTTCTGTTTGTCCACAGCCCAGGGCTCTCCTTTCTGTCTCACAGATCTGCACTGGAATCCCAGACCCACCATTTACTGGCTGTGGGGTGATGGGGAGGTTGCTTAATGTCTTTGGAGCCTCCATTTCTTCCTATTTAAAAACAGATCATTAACACTCATGACTGTAATCCTAGCTACTTGGGAGGCTGAGATCATGAAGATTATGGTTTGAAGCCAGCCTAGGCAAATAGTTACCAAGACCCTCTTAAAAATACCCAACACAAAAAAGAGCTAGAGGTGTGGCTCAAGTGGTAGAGCGCCTGCCTAGCAGCATGAATGAAACCCTGAGTTCAAACCCTAGTACTGCCAGAAAATAAGAAAAAGCAGATCATTAAAATGACTGCCTCCTAAGGGCTCTTGTGGGAATTAAACAAA